CCACTCTGCTCATTCATGACAGTGTGGGCAGCAAGCTTGCACAGCGCTACTTTGGTCCCTGCGGGCGGGACGCAGCGGCTCGCATCGACATCATCATCGTCATCTGCCATCTCGGCGTCGTCGGCGCATTCGTGCTTTGCTCCGTACATCTCGACCAGCGCAGCGCGGCCAGCGCTGGTTTGAAGCTTCGAGACGAGCTCGAGCACCTGCAGGCGCGGGGGCTGCGACTGGTTGGGCGCGAGCGCTACGTGCGGCAGCGGCAGTAGCAGCAGCAGCTTGCCTGCGGCAGCTCATCTTCGCCGGCCGCGTCTAGCACCATGCGCATAACGCCTTTCGTCTCCGGCTCATTACGCAGGTGCCTCTTGGCGTTGGCGCGCTCTTTGCCGCCGACGATGTTGTACGTGCCTCCTTGCAATTTCGCTGCGTGGACACTCCACTCCTCCACTACGAGCTCGAGTGTGTCGGCCAGCGATCGAGAAGTTGCTTGTTTGGGCCGTGCGACATCGAGGAGACGCTGCAGCATCTTGATGGCATAGCCGTCGCCATCGCCGTGGTCCTCATCAGCAGCGGCTCCGCTCTCCCTTTCCTTCCTCTTGCCGCCAGTGTGTCGTAGCGTCGAGAGCATGCTGGGCGCGAAACGGACCGGAGCGTCGAACTCCGGAACCACCCCCTCAGTTGCGGGGAGAAAAGACTGATAAATAGAAGAAAAGAAAGTACGGGCGCCGACGTGAAACTTCCGCGACGTGAAGATGGCAGGGCATGCGCTCCGACCGTCTGGACTCGTAGAAAGTACGAATAAAAGAAGCTGCCCACGGCTACGCTCGAGCACTTGAGTGAGCACCGGATAGGGTCGATTCCGCATGGTACGGGACCCCTCGATCGTCTCGCCCATCCGCTTCTGGCAAATTGTGTGTGCCAGTCAGGTGCCAGTACTCGTAGCCGTGGGTAGCACCTTTTATTCTTTTTCTTTGAAAGAAAGTTGAAAGCCTCCCTTGCGCCTAGGGTTGCCTTTTCTTTCTTTTTCTTTGAACAGGTCTATCACTGCGCAGAGGGGCCCCCGGAGGAATGCCCACTCTCTCAATCAACCGCTCCACGCCACGCCGCTTGCGGCGGTAAAGAAAGAAAGGGGCGGTGTCGGAGGAAAGAAGGAAAGAAAGAACAGACAACAACCTCCAAGTGCTCCAACCCAAAAGAGGGATGGGAGGGATGGGAGGACGGCGGGGAACATTCTTTTATTGCGCGTTCCCTGGTCCCTCGCTTTGGCCTTTGCCACGTCGTCCCCTTATTGTATATTGACGGCGATGTTCTCGGACGATGAGGCGCGGCGTGTGGCGAGGGCGGCGGTGGAGCGGAGCCAGGGCTGGCTGAGGGCGACCGACCCGGGCCGCGCCTTCGAGTCGCTCTCGTGGCGGCGCTCGGCGGGGACGATGCGGCGCGGCGTGTGGCGAGGGCGGCGGTGGAGCGGAACCCGGCCTGGCTCGCGGCGACCGACCCGGGCCGCGCCTTCGAGTCGCTCGTGGCGGCGCTCGGCGGGGACGATGCGGCGCGGCGTGTGGCGAGGGAGGCGGTGGAGCGGAACCCGGCCTGGCTCGCGGCGACCGACCCGGGCCGCGCCTTCGAGTCGCTCGTGGCGGCGCTCGGCGGGGACGATGCGGCGCGGCGTGTGGCGAGGGAGGCGGTGGAGCGGAGCCCGGGCTGGCTCGCGGCGACCGACCCGGGCCGCGCCTTCAAGTCGCTCGTGGCGGCGCTCGGCGGGGACGATGCGGCCGCGCGGCGTGTGGCGAGGGCGGCGGTGGAGCGGAACCCGGACTGGCTCAAATCGTGCAGCCAGGCGCACCAGCTTGGGCAGCGATTGGCGCGAGAGGCGTCGATACACACTGCATCCTCTCGCATCGACACAATGCGAGGCGCCCAAGCCGCCGCGGCGGCAGCAGCGCTTCAGCAGCAGCAGCAGCTGCTGGCGCAGCTGGACGAGGTGCAGCGGTTGAGCGTCGGCCTTCCTGTCGGCTGGAGCGTCAAAGTCTCAAATTCGACGGGCAAGGCGTACTACGTCTCGCCTTCGAATCAGACGACGTGGGCGCGGCCCCAGACTGCGACTGCTCCGCCTGCGGCTACTCCGGCTCCGATGGCACAGCCGGCGGCTGTGCTCGGGCCATTCAACGCCCTCCCTCGAGTCGAGGTGGGGCGCAAGCGGGGCCGAGATCGTGGCGGAACCTAGGCCGATATGCATGTGAGTTTCGACATTCCACTGAGAGGGCGTGATTTCTTTAAATGTAAATGTGTTATCGGTGTGCAGAGATTGTCGGCAAGCCTCGTCGAAGTTTCCTCGTCGAAGCCTCGGCAAACGTGTTTGATTCTTCCTTTTGTTCACCTTTTCTTTTGAATAGGTTCGTCCTCCGCATGGAGTGAAGCCCTACGGGCACCCCGAACTCCCACACGACGCGCGGCCCAGCACTTGGTTTAAAGTCACGTGATTAAATAAAAAATCTCCCGCGCGCTCCCGCGCGTTAGGGATGTCAGTACCTACGCTGAGGAGTGCGGGACCACCCCGTATGACCTCTTCCGAGCACTTTCTCCCTATGTGCCATGAAATCTCTGCACAGCACAACAGGAAACTTTCGGCACAACAGGAAATGTCCGGCGCAAGAAGAATTTTACTAGCAAGAAGAAGAAGAATTTTACGCCGCCTCCCCCCAACAAACTCCCACACACGCATGTACATACATATGTTGCTTTGCCCGTTCGCTCGTCGTCCCTCCTCGCGCAAGAAGCGCAGCTGGCACTCGCGCGGATGGGAGATCAACGGAGAGCACTTGGAGCACTTGGAGTGTGTCTTATAAAATGAACTCGGGGGCACGGCACGCGGCACAGGTTAGTAGCTTCACATCCAGGACCGGCTCCGGCGCAAAGGGCTTTAGCGAAGTTTCAGCGCAGCGACGCTACTTTCGACGTGAACATGGCCGCAGCGACGCTAAAGCCCAGGCCGTGGGTGAAGATCGCCCAGACCACCTTCTTCTCCGGCGTCGCTGCGGGAACGGCCGGCCTCTCCTACTGGCAGCTCCAGCGCCGCCAGTGGAAGCTGGCGCTCGTGTCGGAGCGGGAGGCGACGCTGCACGCCGCCCCAGAGCCGCTGGCGGCGGTGGTGCCTGCCGCGGCTCGGGCGGACGGCGTGGCGCCGAAGCACGAGTTCCGGCGCGTCGAGTGCCGCGGCACCTTTGATCACCGCCAGCAGCTGCTCATGGGCCCGCGCTCCGCGCCGGCGGGCGTCGATGCGGCGCCGCCAGGCGCAAAGCCGCCTCCCGGCGGCGCGGGCATGACGGGTTGGGACGTGATCACGCCGCTGCGCTGCACGGACGGCGGCGCGGTGCTCGTGAACCGCGGCTGGGTGCCTCGGGATCAGGTGGACCAGGTCTCTCAGCCGGTGGGAGAGCTTTGCGTCGACGGCGTCCTGCGTTGTGGCGAGGCGGGCAACCGCTTCACGACAAACGACGCCGCGCAGCGGCGGTTCGTGTACCTCGATGCGGAGGCGATGGCCGATGCGACGGGAAGCAGCCCCGTCGTCCTGTACGAGACGCCCAGCCAGCGCCCCTCGCCGGGCGGAGGCGGCTGGCCGCTGCAGCGGCCGCTCTCCTCCTTCCTCGAGTTCCACGTCAAGCCGGAGACGCACCTGGTGCGGCGGGCGGCGGCGCGGCGGCGCGGCACGCAACGAGAGCCGCTCACCCCCCCCCCCCCCCTCTTCCCGCAGGTGTACAGCGCGACCTGGGCCTCCCTCAGCGGACTGATGGCGCTGATGACGGCAATCCGGCTGAGGCGCTGAGCGCTTGTGCCGAAGGGAGGTCGAGGCCGCGGCGGAGGCGGAGGCGCGAGGCCGCGTGCTGTGCGTGCGCGGTGCCGGGAAACGTTCACTTGGGTGTGTGTGGGGGTGTACTCTGTGCCGGCGCGTGTGGTGCGCAGCAGAGTGGTGGCTGGTGCCGGTGTGTGACGCGTGCCTGTGCCGCGGGGAGCTATCTTCGCGCAATCCGCGCGGCGTGTGGGCGCCGCTCGGTCTGTGCTGTGCTCGCTGACGGGAAATGTTGTGATAGAGGGTGCCCATACTAGGTACTAGCGGCACCGGGCACCGCCTCGGTATACAAAATGCGCCTGCGGGCGGACCCTCACAGATCACAGATCACTCTATAGCGCAGTAACTGCGCCCCACACTCGCCCGGACCGTCCCCTTCTGGGTCCGGTTCCGCAGACTGTAGGCGGTTCGTGTTATGGTGGCGGCGACGAGAGCGGCCACCAAGGTTGAGAGAGGAAACCACACGACCGAAAATTATCTGACGCGCACTCGGGGCACTCGGCCTGCCTCAGCTGCCAAGCGCAGCGCGGATAGGCTGCAGGAGAGGAGCGAGAGCGGGTATGGCCGCGGCGGTCTCCGTGCAGAATGCACCGATCTGGCGAGGTCCGGCGAGGCAGAAGCTGACTGCCGCGTGTATAACGAGGCCGAAACCCCAGCACACGAGAGGCCACAAGAACCACGGCGGAAAAAGGAGCGTTGTCATGAGATTGATCATGAAGAGGAGCGCGTTGACGGCGATATACGCCACGGCGTGGATGAGCAGGGCGCCGAGTACGGCCCGGGTCAGCGGGCTGACCTTGGTGGACATTACACACCCGGCCAGAGAGTGACAGGAGAGGAGTGACAGAGGGGGCCGTCTGGCGTTATCGCAAGAATTCTACGAATACAAGCCCCTCTCACAGCACGAACTAGCACCACAAAAGGCACAGAAAAAGTCTTGGGTTGTGTTCTTTCTTTTTCATGGCGGGAAACGTGCACGACCGGAAACACGCAATTAATGCGTCAGGACCCACCCCATAGGCCCCGCCCCCGCTTCCCCTCACCCCCTGGCCCTGCGCGCTCCTCGGACCTCGCAGAGGCGCGCTCTCGAGCTAAAAAGGTAAAATCGCCTGCGTCACAGCAGAGAGGGGGGGTATCTAGATCAGAGGAAAGCGTGTTTAGTTAGACTTTTTCATTTTTTAGGTGTGTGAGAGAAGCGTCACCGCGTCACGACTGTGAGAAAAAAAACTGCAGGCGGCCCGCGTGCCGCGAGACGTAAACGTAAACCATTTTTTTGTCTGCATGCACTCTGATCGTCTGATGGCCTCCAGATCAATCAGCGCATCGCAGCGCACCCGCAATATCATCTTCCGATGGGCCCCGCTTGGATGGTCGCGAGCGCGTCCCACACGAGAGTGAGGTCGGCCTTCGAGACGCCAAACAGGTCGCGCAGCCGCGTGTAGATCAGGAACTGGAGCGACGAGAGGAGCATCGCGAAGAGGCCGCGCGGCGCGAGCCCCTGCAGCGCGAGCCGAGGCTCGGCGGCGAGGCGAGAGGTCGCCGAGCCGAGCGTCGCGCCCTCCTCGTTGGTGAGCGTCAGTAGCGCGTCGGCGGGCTGCGACGCGAGCGCCGCGAAGAGGCCGGCGACCGACCCGGCGGCGAGGGGAAGCCCGACCGAGAGGAGGGCGCCGCCCTGCGCGTCGGGCAGGGCGGCGGCGAGCAGCGCGGCGACGCGGTCGAAGACGACGAACTTGGTCACCACGAAGGGCACCTCCTTGAGGAGGATCGGCCCGAGCCCGCGGTAGAGCGCGGCGGCCCCCTCGTCGGCGACAATCTGCTGCACGGCCGCGAGCGACGACGCGCCGTTCCGCACCGCCCCTATCCTCACCGCCTCAAACGGGCAAACCACCGCCGCGCAAAAAGCGGTCGCGCACGCCGACGCAAGCGCGAGCAGCGGCGTCGAGAAGAAGAGCGAGTTGCCCGCGCCCGCTGCCTCGTTGATGGCGCGCGAAAAGACCTCCAGCAGCCCAAAGGCGCACGCGCCAGCCAAGGCGTACCCGAACGCCGTCGCGCCGGCGCCCTGCAGGAAGGCGGCGGCGCCCTCTTCGGACGCGGCCAACGAGCGAGCGCAGTCGAGCGGCCCAGAGTAGGTGCCCGGCGGCTCCGTCTGCAGCCTCGTCTTGACCACGTCGAGAGGCACCTGCCCCACAGCCAGACAGCGCGTGAACGGCGCTCCACAGACGCCCCCCGGCCGACGTCCTCTGGCGGACCAGCAGAGTGTGCGCGACCGAAGAGCAGAGTCCGCCGGCTAGGAAGATCTTTGCCGCCGCCGCCGGCTGCAGCCCACTCACTCGCTCGACGGGCGCCGCCGCGCGCGAGCCGAACGCGCCGGCAGGCACCGCCACCGCCAGCCCGAACCTGCCGTCCGCCTCGCGCCTGGGGACGAGGCCGGCCGGCAGCATCTGCGCGCGCGCGCGCGCAGGCTCGGTGCGCTCGGCCGCCGCCGTCGGCAGCGGCAGCCCCACCGACGCGGCCGGAGGCGTCGCGGGCCCGAGATAGACCTGCGAGCACAGCGCGGGCGAGGCGTGGGGTGGTGTCGTGGGGAGTGTGTGCTAGGCGACGACAGCTTTGCCTCTGGCGACATGGGGACCGGACGGCATGAGGGCGGCCCCTCTCGGCCCCTCTCGGCTCCTCTCGGCCCCTCTCGGCTCCTCTCGGCTCCTCTCGGCTCCTCTCGGCTCCTCTCGGCTCCTCTCGGCCCCTCTCGGCCCCTCTCGGCTCCTCTCGGCTAGTCTCGACGTTGGATGGCGTGCGTGCGGCAGCCTCGAGCGAGCGGCTGAGCTCGGACAGCTCAGAGGCGTTTGGGGGAGGCGCGGCGCGGGGGGTGAGCGACGCGCGGAAGCGGGCCCTCGACGCCTAATCTCGGCTGATCTCGGCTAACCTCGGCTGCATCTCGGCTGCATCTCGGCGGAAGTGAGCCCCCGGCGCCGGGTCGGCGACGAGCCGTGTGTAGTTCGCCACACTCGCCGCGAGGGCGGAGCCGCCGAGGCCGCCCGGGCTGGCAACGGCGGCGGAGACGGCGGGTGGGGGGGCGACAGTCACAGCGGGCGGCTCGTCCGCGTTGTAGCCGGCGCCTGCACCTCGGGTGATCTCGGGTGATCTCGGGTGATCTCGGGTGATCTCGGGTGATCTCGGGGGGGTCTCCCGGCCGTTGGTTGCTGCCGGCGCCTGGGTCGGTCAGCTCGACCGCCGCGATCTTGTACTCGGCCAGCAGATCCGCCCTCGCCTGGTGATCTCGGGTGATCTCGGGTAATGTCGGGTGATCTCGGGTGATCTCTTTCCTCCGCTGTCCACTCCGAAGGGCGAGTGTCTATGAGGTGTCTGCGAGGTGTCTAGGAGGTATCTCGGAGGTGTGTGGGAGGTGTCTGGGAGGTGTGTCTACCTGAGGTGTCTCCTGAGGTGTCTGCGAGATGTCTGTGAGGTATCTGTGAGGTGTGTGGGAGGTGTCTGTGAGGTGTCTGTGAGGTGTCTGTGAGGTGTGTGGGAGGTGTGTGGGAGGTGTGTGTGAGGTGTGTGTGAGGTGTGTGGGAGGTGTGTGGGAGGTGTCTGTGCTGTGTCCTCCCCTCGCCTGCCGCGCGCCGCCCGCGAGCGCCGACGCTGGCGGCGCGATGCGCACTCGCGCGGCGGAGGGTGCAGAGCCGTTCCCCTGCCTTGCCAAGTAGCCCTCGCCACACGCGACCAGCTGCACACGCGCCACGGACCCGTTCCTCATCACCGCCACCGCACACGCCGGCGCGGTGCGGCCGCCGTCGCCGTCGGCCAGCCCGCCGCCGCCCTCCTCTGCCGCTGCGGGGAGCGGAGGGCCATCGATGGCCACCTCAGGCACCTCCCCGTCGGCGTAGCCAGCGCCGCCGTCGAGCAGACGCACCTCCCGCCACCGGCCGGTCGGCCGCATCAGCGCGCGAGCCTTGGCCGTCCGGCCGCCTGTTCGCAGCAAGGAGGCGTGTGAGAGGGGCGCTGCTCCCCGCGCGCGTGAGCTCCTCTCGCGCTCGGCCGCCGCGGTCGAGCGACGGGGGAGGGCCGACCGTGACGGAGGGAGGGGTCGCCGAGTAGCCTGTCGCCGCAGTCTCGAGCTGGACGGAGGCGAGGCGGCTGGCATCCGCCTGGGGCCGGGGAGGGCGGCGAGGGTGGCGAGGGCGGCGAGGGCGGCGAGGGCGGCGAGCGGAGGTGAAGGCGGCGGCGGCGGCGGCGGCGGCGGCGGCGGCGGCGGCGGAGGCGGTGGAGGCGACTGAGGTGCCTCTTCGATGAGCTTCGAAGTTGCTTGCTTGCTTGCTTGCGTGCTTGCTTGCTGCTGCTGCTGCTGCTGCTTCGAGGAGGAGCTGCTCCCAACTTGTGCTACTGCTGCGGCGCCTCTCGCTGCTGTTGCTACTGCTGCCGCGCCTCTCCGATGAGAGAGCCGATGAGGCGCGTGGGCTGCTGCTCGCGCTCGATGAGGCAGAGAAGGTGGGCGAGGAGGCGCTTCTGGCCCGCCGAGGAGTACTTGTTGGCCAGCGCCTCTCCCAGCCTGCCCGCGCCCTTCTCGCCGTAGTACCCCTCGAGACCGACCTCGACCGAAGTGACGAGCGAGGAGAACTTGGACGCGAGGAAGGCATCGCGCCGCTGTTCGCCGAGCAGACCGACGATGCCGTCGCTCGCCTCGTCGTCCATCGTAAAGGACTCCGCCTCCGAGACCTGCGTCTGCCACCACCGCCGCGTCGTCGGCTCGTTGTTGAGCAGGAATCGAGAGAGATACGCAGCAAACGTCGTCGAGTACTGCTGTTCGGTCCGCGCGAGCGCGCCGCGCCCGACGTCAACGCTGCTCAGCGGCCGGTAGACGAGCGATGAGTCGGCGGCGGTGGCAGGCGCGACGAGGGACGGGCCGGCGGCGGCGGCGGCGGCGGCAGTGAGCAGCAGCGAGCGACGAGAGGGAGCTGTGTCGTATGTGTTGAACAGCTGCTGTGGATGCGCGTGCCGAGGGCGCGGCAGAGGGACGCCGCAGCGCATACGGATGGGCAGAGGAGGATGGTGGGTCGGCGAGGCCAAGACCATTCAGACAAGCCGAGCTGCCGCTTCGGCCGCGCGAAAAAGAATTACAATCGCCCGTGTCTGCGCAAGTGAGTGTAGAGCGGTGGTGTGGGGCGTGCAGTGTGGTGTTCATTAGCTCCGAGTAGAGGGGGCGTCCTGCAGTTAAGGGGAGACCCGGTACGCGGGGCTAACCCTCGGAGACCCGTGTTTACTTTACGGCCCTTTCCCTGCGAACGCGCACCCCCAGGGCTAGGGCTCTCTTGCCCGCAACCCGATGCCAATCATCCGGCCCGCTGGGTGCGCTTCTTAGCTCCCCGGCCCTGGATGTGCGGTTAATGACTGCACTCCAAGTGCTCCAAGTGCACCTATAACGAGTAGCGCTACTCGGGGCCACGTGCCCCCTCGCGCTCGCCCCCTGTCGCCCGCCCCCCAGCACCCTAGGTGCCAAGGGCACGAACAACAGCACAACAACACAAACAAGGCGACAGGGAGGGCACGTACCGTCGGGTCTCATTTTAAGGTGCCTCTTCATTCATGCCAGTTTCGGAGCACGGAGGGCAAACCCTGCCCGGCCCCTAGGACGCCAGGTAAGGCCCAGGTGTGGCCTAGGGCATCAGAAGGGACCAAGAGGAGTCCTGAGCCATGGAGCCCATGCATGTCTTTGCCCCCGAAGGTCGCGTTCAAATGCCCGGAGGAACGGCCGTCTCAGTGATGTCCGGCCGGCGCGATCACCGAGCTGTGACGCTCAGGGAAGCCTGATGAGGTACTGGTTCTTTGCCCAGGCCTGGCCTACGGCCCATATGCTGGATCAGCTGAGCAAGGTTTGGGGAGAATCCTATAGTAGGATCTTCAGATATTTTGACGGACGGCCGAAAATGGGCAAAAACGGGGTGATTTCGTGTACACCCTCCCCCCCCCGCCCGGGTGTTTAGCAATTGGTCCCTTGGCAACTGCGAATCGGTGGGCCCCCCTGGCTCCAGCAACTGATCCGGCACTACACCCGGATCTATTGCTGTTAACCTCGTCTTAAAATAGAGACCCGACGGTAAAGGTCTTAGGTTCGTTGTTAGCAGATAAAGGCACAGACGACAGAGCTCAAACACAAAAACAAAACATCTCTCTCTCTCTCTCAGAGCTCCAAGAGAGTTTGAGTGAGAGAAGGCTCAGGGCTGACAAGCTGCCGAGCCCAAATCACTGTGAGAGTCGTGATTTCTGGTTGGTTTTCAAAAATCTCTCTCAGAGCTCCATCCACACAAACAAATGACAGCGGGAGGAAAGAAAGCGGCGAGTCGCCGTACTAGCGGTCTCAGACCTAGACCCTATATTCCAGGATGGCATTCTTCGAAATAGAATGGGCGCCGCAGCGGCCCGTAGCGGCGCCCCCTGCGTGCCCACGGCCACCCCGGGGCCATGGGACTTCCCCCCGGCCATCGGGGATGCTTGGTTCATCCATTACCCCATTTATACGGGCTGTGTTGCGGCGCGCCTCGAGACGCGCAGCGCAGCGCAGCGCGCAGAGCCCCAGACCACAAAACAGATCAGAAGACGGCCGTGGCGACACCCGCTCTGGCGACAGCCCCGCAAAAGGCACTCGCTCGCCGGCAAAGACTACGGGTAGCACAGGCGGCAGCAGAGGTGGCGGTCCGGGTCGCAGCGCGCGTAGCAAGTCGGCCCCAGCGTCACGGGCGTCGGGCCAGGAGCCGGCTCGACGAGATCGACGAAGAGGACGAAGAGGAGGAAGACTACTCGAACTTGGACGAGGACTCGGGCGAGGAGCAGGACTCGGAGACCGGCCAGGGAAGCGACGACCATGACTAGTGACACGAGGAGTAGATGTGACACGAGTAGTCCGCATTTCGCGCTGTCTGCTGTCTGCTCTCTTTCGCCGCCCGACCCTTTCGCCCGCCCACCACTTGCGAGCACAAATCTCACACCTCCACTGCCCTCGCCACAGGCGGCGACGGACGGACATACAAGGCTCGAACGGCGGCAGCGGCTCAACGGCCGCCGGCGGCCGTCGTGCGTTTGCTTTCGCCATACGTGGCGCACCCCCCGGCGTCTGCTCTGGTTTCATGGGGGTGGAGGGGAGGACTCTCATGTGCGGACTGTTGGGCTCTCTGTGTTGAACTGGCGCTTTGTGCGCGAACCACATCAGTCTGGCCGAGCGGCACGCCGCCGCTGGGGGCGTGAGGAGGCCGCGGGGGACGGCGGCGAACCCCATCCTTCGATATGGGATGGGCCCTCACGGCGGCCCGTCTGCTGCTGAAAATGTGGCGTGTTGGGGGCTCTCCTGTGTGACTCCTCTGGCTCGCCGCGTTAAACTGGCGCCTGTGTGTGACCAACCCCAACCCCGGTAAGCGCCCCCCGGCCGCTGGGGCTGCGAGGCGGCCGGGTGAGCGCGCGCGAGACGCCATTCTATAAGGATGCCATCCTACAATGTATATAGAACGGCCAAGTGGGTGGGCTGACTGAGTGAGACCGCAGGGGTTGTGACGGGCCACCCTGTCCAGCCAGAGAGGCATGGGTGCCAATCTGGGGTCTTTCGACAATGTATGAGCCCTGGCCGCCTCCCGGTGGTGGCAAAGGTGTGAGGCTAAAGCTAGCAGAAAAGTTGCGCTTACGCCGGAATTTTACTCTTCCGGAGGGAAAGAGAGTGGACGCCGCGGCGATGAACATGCTCCCTGACGATACCTGCTCCGCGCGCGCTCCAGCAGCGAACGCGCCGGCTGGCCGTCGGCCATCCTCCGATCTACTAAGCGCGCTACCTCCCTCGCCGAACAAGCCTGCGAGCCGTCGGCAGTCCTCCGATCTGCTGAGCGCGCTGCCTCCCGCAAACAAGCCCCCTAGCCGTCGGCAGTCCTCGGATCTACTAAGCGCGCTACCTCCCTCGCTGAACAAGCCCACGAGCCGTCGGCAGTCCTCGGATCTGCTGAACGTGCTGCCTGCCGCAAACAAGCCCACGAGCCGTCGGCAGTCCTCCGATCTGCTGAACGTGCTGCCTCCGGCAACGAGCGCGCCTGCCGATCGCCGGCCATCCTCTGATCTCGCGAGCATGCTCCCCCCAGCGCTCGCGGCGAAGCAGCCCAGCCGTCGGCCATCCAACGATCTCGCGAACACGGGAGGGCTCACAGCGGCAATGGCTGCCACCAACCTGCTCCCACCATAGCGGAGCAGTCGGGCTGGCAGGTGCGGGCTGAACAAATATGCCCCACTACTACACGCGCGTTCTATGCGCTGCTGTGTGCACAGGCGCTGACGATGATCCATGTGTCCAGGACCGCGAGACATGCCCGGTAGAGACTAACGAAGGGCGTGTGTGTCGATCTATTGACCGATCGATGTGCGATGCTTTGGAGGACTGGGATCGTGGTCCGAGCCTGCTTGAAGCGGCTCAGATGTAAGCGGCATCTATGTACTCGAGTATCTGTATTCTGAGGTGAAGGACAGCTGCTGCCAGGCCCCACGCTCTGGACACCGCTCATCGGCGCCCGGATGTAAGGGGCCCCGCGCCGGCAGACATCGCGGGGCTGGCGGGGGGGGGGGGGGGGGGGATCGTTTCGACAAAGAAGAATCGGAATCGAAGTATTCGAAAAGAAAAACGGGTGGCGCGCCGCCGACCAGGGTGAGCGCCTAGGCGCAGGCGGTGCGGGCTCTCAACCATGAGCGCGGACCTTGCCGACAGCCTCTCAAGCCTGAGCCTCAAGGCGCGCGCGGCACACGACCCGCATCCCGCGCCCACGCCCTCAGCGCCTCGCCCTGCCGACGCAGGGAGCGGCTCCAGCTGCGTCATGGTACTACATTGATGAGAAGCAGAACTACGTGGGTCCGGTGGACACGGACGGCTTGCGGCAGCTGCTGGCCCATGCGTACGTGTCGCACGACACTTACGTGTGGGCCGCCCACCTCTCCGGTTGGCTCCGCCTCGCAGACGTGCCAGACTTTGTTGCGACGCCCCGTGGGACAAACATCTTGCCGCGCTCCACGCAGCCGCCGCCATCCGCGCCGTCTCCACCGGCGGCCGCGGAGCCTGCTTCGGCGCCCGCGACCGCGACCGCGACCGCGACCGCGACCGCGACCGCCGCGCCCGCCAACGGCGTGGACCGCATCGCTTCCGCAGAGCAAGCTGCCCGAGGCAGCCCCGCACCGCCTACCCTCGGCTTGAGACGACGGCAGCAGCCAGCAGCGACGCCGCTCTCGCCGGCGGCGGGGGCGGCGAGGCCTCCGACGAAGCCGCCCGTGCCGCCCGTGCCGCTCGGCCAGTCTCTCGCCGCCAAGCCCCCGCAGCCCGACCCGGCCAGCGCCGCGGAGGACGCCGCCGCCTCGAGCACGCCGTCGCGGCCTGCCCGCCAGGTGAGCGAGTTCCAGAGAGCGTCGCCTCGCGAGGAGGAGGCGGCGTCGCTGACGCCGCGGGCGGCAGTCCCTCGCATGGAGGGCGCTCCCGAGGCGGAGGGCGCGTGGGACGAGGGCGACGGGCTGCGCGTGCTCACGGCTGGCGGGCTGGTGAGGGCGGTGCCGGCTGCTCGAGGGGGGGGGGGGGGGAGGGGGAGACATGTCCACGACGCGGCGACGCGGTGCGGGTAGGTCGTGCTGCCGGATGGCGAGGTGCGGGACGGGACGGGCAGGACGCTCGCCTACATCGAGGCGAACGGCGAGGCGCGCGCTCACTCACGCATGCGCTGCATCGGCACGGGGGGGAAGGGGCTTCACTGAGGGGGAAGGGGCGTAGGAGGAGGGGCGGTAGTAGGAGGAGGCTGTGTGTGTGTGTGTGTGTGTGTGTGTGTGTGTGTGTGTGTGTGTGTGCGCGTGTGTGGTGGGGGCCAGCCTCGCTCTCCGCGGCCGCAGGTCGGCTCGCACGAGATGGAGTTCCTCGGCCGCGTCCACCGAACCGCCGGCACCGTCTGCAACCGGAGGGACGAGCACGTCGGAGAGGTGGGGGCCGCCGAGATGCGCCGAGATCGATCGAGATTTGCCGAGGTCGGGAGATCAACCGGTACGAGCCGGTGATGACGAACCGCGATGAGCCCTGTCTCCGCAGACATTGCGCCGGGACTCGTCTCATGTCCACGACATGCACACGTCATGTCCACGACATGTCCGCGTCACGTCTCCCTCACGCCTTGGCAGGTGGACATCGGCCACGGATATGTCCGCAACGCGCAAGGCTCAGTCGTGGCGGAGGCGTGCACACGTCGCCTCCGCCAGTCCGCGACACGTCCATGACACGTCCATGACACGTCCATTGACACGTCCTGCAGGTGTCCAAGGACGGCTCCGTGAGCGGGAATGGCCAGCGCACCGCCGGATACGTGCAAGGCGCCCTCCCCCCGCCCCCTCCTCCCCTCCGTCCCCTTTGTCCTCCTCTCGTCTCCTCTCGTCTCGTCCCTTCTCTTCTCTTCTCACCACTCCCGGCACACCTCTCCGCGGCAGGTTTCACCTTTGAGGCGATGCCGCGCCTCGCCGCCTACGTCCTCCTCGTCGACCCGGCCTTCGTCGCCGGCTTTTGACGCGGCAGCCCCTCGTGGCCTTGCGCCGGGGGGCTGCGCCATAAGGGGGGGGGGGGGGGAGGGCTGTCTCGCCTTCCCTTTCTTGCCCGCCTTCCCGATTCCGCTGCCTCCGCGAGGATTGTCGCACAAGGTAGGCGCGCCGACACTGATGGCTATGATTGATAGCTTGCGTCCCTCGAGTCCCCGTGCGTGCGTGGCGGTGCGTGCGAGCTGCAGCGGTGGACCCGCAGAGATCACCCCCTCGAGTGAGCAGCGTGCCGCGGACCGCCCCTACATGTTGTAGGGCTAGGCCTGCTCTTTAGGCGGCCTGAGCATGACCATAGAAGTACTCCGCATCGCATTTAATATCGAATGTACAATACCCCTGCTAAACTGTGGACCGCGGTGCCACCCTGCGGCCGGACAGCGTCAGCGAGACCTCACTCGAATGGTTGGGTAGTAGGGCTAGAGAGGGTCGCTCTACACTTAGCCTCTGCAGCGAGCGTGAGCGAGCGCTCAACTTAGCGGCCCCCGCACGGAGCCGGGCTCGGACTTAGACGCTGTTTGGTCGGGGGCCATGAACTTAGAGACACACAAGGGCTAGTGCCATTTCACTCTGACACGCTAATCTTGAAAACGTCTCCAACGGAGCTCCGTGTTGCTTCCAGCGCCCTCCCCCGCGCTTCCTGCGGCCATGGCCGATGATCCTAGGAAGAGAGGTCATCTGGCTACCGCGAGAGCGACCCAACTCGTCGACATCGTCCGATGATGGTGCCGCAAAGTCAGCCTTCGGAGGCTATCGTGGGGTGGAGCCGGCAGTAGCCGTGACATGTGGTTCCACCACCCCTCGTAGGCTTTGCCTCTGACCGCCACCGTTCCCAGGCTGCCTACTGGGATGGAAAGGAAGGCTCGGCGAGCGTATAGAAGCGTGCTCGACCTCGTCGTGGCAACCTGTACGGCAGCGCTGGTAGGCGCGATGAGCGTCGTGCCACCTGACCCGAGACAGGTCGCAGGCGTCGTACCGAGCGCGTCGAGACCGTGTCCTGATGTGGTCTGCACGGGTGAGTCACGTCGGCGTCAAAGGAGCGACGTGTGACCTGTCAGAGCTTGATCTCCGATCTCAGCGGCGTCGAGTCGTCTCCGGCGCGCAACAAATGTACCTCCCCAGGACGCGCAGAGGCAGCTGCGACCCCGCCGAGTAGACGGCGGCACTCCCCGCCACCTGCTGTGTGCCGC